CCCCAAAACCCCAAAACCCCATTGCTTAAAAATGATCACATTATAGAGTGAATACATAATTTAATTAAGATAAATTTGCAATCATCATTCATTCTGGACTATATAAACAGTTGAACTCACTTGAAATTCCTACTGCTTATTTACTTTAATTATAATTTGTTCATTTATTTCTGTCCAGCTTGCTGATTCTCTTCCTTTGAATTTCTTCATAGAGGGCTTTATTCAGTCTCTAAGGTTGCTTGCGACTCTTTTTACTGCAGAACCATTTATACCCAAACCATACCAATGCTAGCAAAATAACTAAGCACATAAATTCCACAAACCTCTCAAAATAAGAGTTAGTAACAATTAGTCTAGCAGCTCTCAGAAGATATTTCTTGATTAAGTCAAGAGTATTTTTCCCAATTGTTTCTATAGTTGATGAAGACTGTGATGGTTCTATTTTTCTCTTTAGATTGCCCAGTCTAGAACTGCTAGAAACTCCATTGAAACAAGACTCGCTAAGCTCATCTTAAACCTTCACTCCCATCATTTTACAAAACTTGATAGGGTCTGCATCTACTACATCATTCACAGCAGAGCATATAAGTGAGTCCTTCTTGCAAAAGGGCAGATTCTCATTTTAGTTTACATATGGGTCAAAGTATTCATTCTAGCAGACATTATACCATTGCTCGCAATAAGATTAGCACACGCCATTCAACTTCCCTAATCCCTAACAAATTTATAAAATTTGATAGTACTTACCATATCTCCATCGCAATGAGAACAAAGTGCCTTTGCAGTAAAAGCCATGCACTGATCTGAGACATCAGACTTGACCTTTGCAAATCCAACCTTGGCTTTGATTTTAAGCGTGTCATTTAGATTGCAACACGTTCTCCCTGCATGCTCTGTGCAAAACAAATTCTCATTCAGCATATTCAGCTAATATTCATTCCCATACCCTCCAGCACATTTCAAAGCTGGATCTGGCTTGTCTTTGTCTTTATCCTTAGTCTCTGAAGCTAAAACTGCTACAGTTGTGTATATGACTGCTATTGCTAAGTATTTTTTAACTCTTGATTTGATATTCACTTGAGGAATTTATTCCATAGTCCTTATAATATTTTAATTATTAATCATTAACAATTTAACTTTAAGTTTAATCACATTAAACATTGCAATGTAAATTCACGGGCCAATGCCAGTTCTTACTATTTACAACCATCACTAACACAGTTTATTTCCACTTCTTAACATTCAAACTCTTATAGTACTTCTTCTCTTATTCGATTTTTATCGATTCCTTATCTTTATTTTGCTAATTTGCTTGTTCAATTCCTCTATCTTCACCTCCAAATTTTGCTTTTGCTCTCTGCTTTTTTGTCTCTTTTACTAGCCGAGGTACTTAGAATACTCCCTTTCTAGTTTGTCTTTTTCCATTTGTAACTACATCAACTTTCCATCTTAATTTGGATCCTAATCTTCATAAGGAGATTGCATTAGCATGTCGTCATCTTACTATTCTCTCAGGTAATCTGATCTTGCATCAGATTAAATTTGAGTTTTCCCCTTCATTGCTGAGAAATAATTCGGATTAATTATATCTGAGTTATTTATAAGGGATCGCTTCTTATCTTTAATTTTCATACTTCCATGCTTAATCACTCCCATTTGAGTACTTGAATTAAGTTAGTTCAGATTATCTTCATCCTCATCCATGTAATTGCTCATATCATGATGATTAATAACCATAGACTGAATCATTCTATTGCTCTATTCATTATTTCTAAAGCTATTCCTAATGTTTTTCCTATAATCTTGGCTCTATTATTACTTGAATACTCCTTTTCTACCTCTAAGAGTAATACATTCCTCATCTTGAAATTCCTCAGCTTCAACTCTTGTTGGTGATTAGGAATCCTCATTATTTTTTTCCCATTTCATAATTTGACTAACTCCTGGAGATTTATTCGACCTTGCACTACCTCTCTTCATAGTAATTAAAGGAGAATTTACCTCATTGGTCAGAGGTCGAATATTTGTGCTTTTAACGTGCAGATTAGGTTTGTTATAACTAGGAGCATTGTTAGTCATATAATTATAATTCTCATCTGCTTCTTTTTGATAGAGTTGAGAGTGCTAAGTCTAAATTGGATTGTAGGGCAAAATCTATTTGTTTATTGTGTTGCTTAAATACTTTGATGGATCCTTCAATTGATCATAGTGACTTTTCTCTGAGAATCTAGGTAGCCTCGTTCTATCCTAGCTACTCAATTCTTAGTAAGGATCAACTAGCTATTCGTAGTTTAATGTTCCACTCCTTATGTAGCCAGCATTAGTATTGTTTTGATTATATTAATCCTTGATTGCTCTAGGTACACTGTGTGACTAATAACTCATCAATCCATCAGTCTCTATGAATCCACCTTAGTTTCTTAACTATGGTGATCTATTAGTTATTCTCAATCCATTACTCAGCAACTAATTGCTATCATGCAGCTTATACATATTCAACCTTATATCTGTTTCATGCAACATCTAGCTTGCTATTTGATCTACTCTTAATTACAAGCTTTGAATAATTTACTCGTGAATTCTCTATTAACTTTTTAACTCTGAAATGTCAGTTTGCATTTATTCCTTATCAGATTGCAGTATTTTTACTTGAGCCTCTAACTCAGTTATACGATTCTTCTATCTCTCTACAATCTGCTTTAAATAGCTGTTTTCAGAGGTAGTTATAGAGTCTTAACTGTGAGGCAATTGATTGGTCTGCCTGAAATTTTGTAATTGCTAAAGATTGATAATTTCCTATTGCAAGATAGTAACTTTCATCTCAAGCGAATTTATGTACTACATCTAGTTCGCTTCAACTAAATTTTACAAAATGCTTTAGTTTTTAGAAATTTAATCGTTAATTGGTTAGTATTAATTCAATTGCTCAAGAGGCTTATCTTCTGTATTATCTCGAAAACTCATAGGAGTATAATTTACACTCTGAATGTTATTTTGTAGAAATTTAGAGTAATCTGGAGATAATGGATTCATGATAAGAGTATCATTGTAGCCTCCTGCTGTTTATTTTTCTGGTGAGCATGTGAAGGACTTGGAGAGACTTACAGTTTTATAAGTCAATCCATTGGTGCTGCTATTGTGAGTATTTTTAGAAGCGATGTGATCATTTAAGTCCAATGATTTGTGATGTGAATGATGAACGGAGTAATTTGGTCTTCTAAGTGAGTCATCAAATTACTATTTCTGCTCATCTTAGAAAGATACCTGCTGCTTCTGCTAAGTATAGACTTTTACCATATTATCATAATTGCTTCCATTCATCTAATTCTGTGACTGTAGATAGAGGAGCTATGATTTCTTCAAGTTGTCTAGACTGTCTTAGATTTACTTGCTGTTAATAAAATTCTTGTTATTTATGGTTGAATTTCCTTTTTGCTATTGATTGTTAATATTTGAAACTATTTGATCTACTATTTATTGCTGCTATTGTATAAAGTTGTCATCACTCATACTCACCAATACCTCATTTTTGTTTTTGCTTGCGGGATTATAAACATACTGATTCTTTTACTTAGTAATGGTGTCTATATATTATCATTCTTCCTCATATTGCTATCTTGGTGTTATCTTTTAAACTGGAGTTGCTATGATTAAAGATTATTTTGGTATTAAGGTAATGCTTACTTGGAATCTTTCTCACAGAATTTAAAAGCTCTTCTTGCTAATCATCTACCAATATGTCGTCCTTACTTCTATCTTTGGATAAATTTCCACTGAAGACTACATCGCTTTCAGAATCTACTACGTTTTCCATCATTTTGTTATCTTCATCTTCTTCTTCATCTATCTATTGTTTGGGTTGCACCACTTGATTTAGATTTTAGGGTTTATTCACTTTACTTTAGGGAGATACGCCTACATTTAAGATCGCAGGAGGATGTACAGTTGTTCTTGGAGAGGGAGGCTAATTCTCAGAATATATATTGATGTCTAGATCTCTTATTGAAATCAAATTCTATTTACTTCCCTCGAAAGTCATTGCCTAAATCTCATATTCCTGACTGCTATTAATGACCAGGTCTGGGCTAATTCTATGCTAAGTCACAATTTTGATGTTTTCTTCATCAGAGAACAAGTTCTTTACACTTTATTTCCTAATAGTCTCGTTTATAAAGCTACTATTTATTCCTCCGCTATTTTAATTATTTTGGCAGTCTACTCCTTCCTCCTCTTCGTTTGGACAGAATTTGGTTTCTGAAGAACTATCTAAATTTTTCATTTTATTTTAATTGTAGAAAAATAAGTTCTGATTATCTTAATTATGCTTTTTTATTTTAGATTAAAATTTATTTCGAAATAACTATTTAGAGTTTGATGGGGTTTTGGGGTTTTGGGG